GGTCTTGATTATTCCATTACCACTATATTCCCTTCTGCTCCCAGTCCTATGAAAATCCCATGCTGTAAATTAATCGTTACTCTGAGGGCTCAGGAAGTAAATTACTCCCCCCAGGACGGCTCGCAGGCCCATTCTCAGAAGTACAGGTGTCCTTTGGTGCCACAATGGCTAATTCCTAGCTGCTTATGAAATCTTGAACTCTAACCAAAAGGCTAAAACCTCCCACAAACACAGAGAAAACAAGGTAAGACCACGGGATGAAGCCTCTGATTGCACCTATGCACTGTATATATATCTCACACTCACAAGGAGTAAAAGCTGGATAAACTGCATATGGATTAGGCACTAACACGGTATCTGACTAAAGCAAATGTGGAACCTGGCTCTGCCTGGACAGGTGCATTTCTTTGATTTAGGAACTGCACTCATTTCTTTGGGTTTTCTTCATAAACATGTGCACACCAAAACCACAGCACTTGACACCTGGGCATGGCATGGAGGAACCCGAGTTGTATGCCTGGAGGATGCACGCAAACCCACAGTATCACATACCAATGAAGCATCATCAGCCCTTAGCCAGGGTAAATTTTGAGCCAAGTCCCCCTTGCTCTTTTGTCAACAGCAGCAGGGTTCTGCCCTTCTCCAACAAACAGCTATCAACGTGAAAGTGAAGAGATCCAACCATCACAAACTGAGCAAGACGACCCTCAGAGTAGCTCCTGTCTACATTAGGGAGCCGGGAATTGATTCCTCACTTGACAGACGCATATTAGCTGCTGCAACACGCCCCCATGCACATTCTTACATCACTGCTGCTTTTGCAGGGGCCACCCTGGGAGCAGAGACTGGATCTAGCCTCTGAGTAAACAGAGAAAATGCCTACTCTGGGAATTCAGGCACTGGGACTAAAACATGGCTCCAAACAGCTCATCAGCTGTGGGACACAACTTTAGCAGATCAGTAGCAGGAGTAAGTGCACCCAAAGGTGTTGGCAACAGCCGAGGGGCTCATCTGCAGATTCATATTTGTGGGATTAAGCACCTGCAGAGGCACACTTGCCTCCACCACAGCGTGCCTCACAAACCTGCCCTGTGAGGATCTGTGCCCTTCTTCCTACTGTCAGCTTTTTCAGTAAGTGTAATCCTGGCGCTCTCAGCCTACGGAAAGATCCACCTCAGCTATAAAGCATTCCCTTCAGGAACCATAAAAAATTAATTATTCAGCAGCATGAACCTTAAAGAATTTTTTTTTGTTTGGCAGAAAATATCAACAAGCAAATGACAGTGCACTGCTCTGCCTTGCCAAGACAAGGGGAAGGTTCACATTAGGGTTTAATGTCATGGCATTGAAACAAAAGCCCTCTTAACTCAGAGTCTGTTTAGTATCAGCCAGATTGAAACCAAATTCAGCTTTTGTTCTGCAAACCGCCTAACCATACACTACACTCTCCCTCTGAGGCTTGCCATGCAAGATGCAACGCTTCCTGCCAAAGCCAACAGGAGATGTTGAGGAGGATCCAAATGAAGTTTTTGATACCATGTGCGGTACATCTGTTTCTAATGTTCCTGCGTGCCGTTTGTCTGATCACATAATGCAGTTCACCTACGTCCAAGCGCTGCATATGCATCTCTCCCTGAAATGCCCACGGCCATTCGTGGGCACAAGACCTAAACCTTTGTGTCCTGGATAGAGAGGCCAGCTGTCCTTGCTACACTATGGTTCTCAACACGTAACACTGCTTCGTGACACGGTGCACGCAGGCCAGCCACAACAGCAGAAGTGCAATCCCTACAAGGAGGAAATACATTGATTACGTTGGTGCCCTCAATGCTCCCAGAAGATACCCGCGCTGGGGCCCATCCACACGAGCCAGGCTGAGCCATAGCACAATAGCAAGTAAATGGCAACAACCTGCTCCTCTCTGTCCTCTCGTGCCGAGGGAGAGGAAGGGCATGCTGCGTAACCAGGCTGACGCTGTCAGCCAGTGCCTGCTGTATCAGCAACCGCTGCTTCCACACAGCATCATGCAAATAAAGAGCATTTCAGTGCACGGCAGCAGTGACGCAAACTGCACGGCAGCCTGCGGGCACGCTCCTACGGCCGAGTGCAGGTGTGTGCAAGCACGTGCGTGAAACCGTGTTTATCTTGTCTGCTCTGGATGGGTTTCGATCTCTTACTTTTCTGTTGCGCTTTTGGTGCTTTGAGGCTTTATGGATCATTAAATAAAGTTGCTGATTTTTTCAAATACTTAAGTGCATACCTGGTCTTCTTGAAAATTTCTTTTTTACCCACCTCGGCACTTTTCTACCTGCACATATGTTCACTGTGTGGATGAATGATTTAGTATACTGAGCAATGTAAAACCATCTTGTTTGGGTTTTTTTTTTCCTTCCTCATACTATATAAGTCAAGCAGACTGAAATTCAATACTCCCATGCACTTTATTTCACATAGTCCTCAGAAAGACTACTTAAAAGTGAGGTTGATGAAAGCAAGTGCAAAAGTGCAAAGGAGCAGTATATATATATATATATATTTTAATCTCTACACTCAGGTAAAGCAAACTCCACGAATGATGAGATGTGCTTTGCTCTGATGGAAAAGCTGGAGGTAGCAGGAAGGCTGAATCAGCATGAATTCTGCACCAGTCCCTTCGAGCGTGCGCTGCCAATGCCAATGCTGTGGCTACAGCAGCAAGTGAACATGGGGCTTCAGCTCCAGTTAGACCGCTCAGCACCAAATATATTCTGATCCTCTAAAATGATAATGGAGTAAGTTAAAAATACACAGGTGACAGCTGAAAAAAAATGTTCCTCCTATACTAAGGAATCAAGCAGAAAATTTGCATTTACATTGATAGAATGGAGAAATTCTGCACTAACAGGCAGTGGGGGGAGAAAAATAATTCTCACTTTTCATTATCACCACTCTAAATTTATTCTGATGGATTTCAAAAAAAAAAATAAAGGCAAAAAAACAGTTTTAAAGAGAAAAAATAAACAAATGCCTTTGTTGAACAAGTCTCCGATATCATCTCTGAAAGGAAGCACTGTTGTGCAGACAACCAGCCTTTTTAATGGAGAATGCTGACAATGGGACTTTCTTTAAAAAGTCCTTTGTAAGAAAGTGCTCTATTAAAACAAAAGTAATATAAAAATAGCTTAATTAAAAATTAAATAAAATGCAAGAGCAGTCCGCTTCCTCTGGTTAGCTCAGCTCCCAATGGTTAATGCCGTGTTTTGGAAAATGTCTGTAGGACACGGTAGCACATTCTCAGTAAGTGCGAGTCTGTCATCCAGTCACCTTAGCCACACAAACACACCCGTTTAAATAACAGACCGTAGACATCGCCTATTCTGAAGAGGATTAGAAAACTCCATAAATGCAGGGGTTTGTTATGCTGTCCTGAGGTTCAGATGTGAGTATCTTGCAAATGATTTTATCACCCATCCCCTTTCTTTCCACTAAAACACTACAACTTCCTTTGCTGGCACGAAGCAAGTGAAACCCGATCTCTGAAGAATGAGCTATTACTGCAGTACTAATAATACTCCCCCTGCCTCCCACCAAGACTTGCAGTGTTTTAATGAACAACAGAACAATATTTGAAAAATAATTCCGTATGTCCATTCTGTAAACAGACCTCAGGCTCTTACACAGATTTGACCTGAAGTGCATTGTACTGTACTGTCTCTACAAAAATGAAATTTATGTTGAGTACAAAGAAGCACATTTATATGCAGGCTCTGAAAGGAAGTGCTGTAGGTTCTTTGTGCAGCGAAGTTACTTCCCTGCCCACCCAGGATGGAGTAGGACAGTTTTCTCCTTTGCTGCAGTTTACCAGTTTTTACTGGGAGGTGATCAGCACGTGCTGGTGGGCTTCAGCCTCTGCTGACGGGACCTCTTCTCTCTTGTACCCAAACACGACTAAAGGTCGCTCTCACTGGCCCCAGGAGTCTCCTGTCACTTGCTGCACTGCGGCGCAGCTTCAGAGAGCACGGGTGCCCGTCCAGCCATCCCCCGGCAAGGGGGTGGTGCCCAGGGCACTCTCAGGGGGCACCGGAGAAAACCCCTCAGCTTGAGGAGACCATTACAGAGGGTCACAGGCTGCCTCTGTGGGGACTCCAGGCTCCATCAGGGAGAACAGGGAGACACCCTTGCTGCTGCTCAAAGCGTTTGGAGAAGTAAATCTCTGCACTTACCATTTCACTGGCTCCCAGCTCAACGTTACGGATACCCCTTCTGACATCGTGAGCTGGTCCTGTGCACTAGGCACGCACCACAACCTTTCAGAGTCACTCTGGGCTGAGGCACCAACAGCCTGGGTGTTCTGGGACTAAACTTACAGTTTCCCGTGTCATTCATCACATCTCACACCTGACACACGTCAAACAAACACCTCACCCAGGAATGAGATAGAGGGGTAGAAGTAACCTAACAACACGGTGACTTTTATACTTGAAAAGCTCAAATAAAGCTTCAAATACCCAAGACGGCTCCAAGGTCTTAATACATCTTTTAAAGTCATCATTATTACAATCCCAGCTGTAAAAGATCACCAAATTATTTCAACGTTTATTAGCACATCGGCATGTTAGATGCACACCACACTAATCCAGCACATTTCATCGAGAAGCAACTTGTGGGATGCTCTGCGTGGCGCACTCGCGCTGTGGCTAACTCAGAGTCACAGCTAACATCACTTGTGCTGAAGAGCCTTTGACCCCACTAATAGCTCTGCTAGCCTGATGTGAATCATTGGAGGAACAGACTACCATTTAACATCGGAGAAGGCAGTAGGACCCACCCCTTAATGACTTTTATTTTCTTATTTTATTTGGCGGTTGTCCTTAAATTCATCTAACAACTTCTCTCAGATGTTCCTTTAAAAAGAATTCCATTTTTCTCCCTGTTAGTTAACACAATTAAAGACTACTGGTTTACCTTAATGGAGAGATTTTTGCTTAACTTGTCTGCACTCCCTGAGGAGTTATACTTACATCATGCATGGAGTCAAGAAGTTTAGTCAGTTGGTAGAATCTCTGCCAGCTTTGCCCAGAGTTACTTGGACATTTAGTTACCATCTTCTTTAGTTCTTTAATGTAATTTGCCCTCATTTCTTCAAATGCAGCTTGGCTTTTGAGACCATCCTTGGGAACTGTCATTGAAAAGACAGTCTTATATTAATATTAACTGTAATCCTTATTCTTTTGATGTGCATACTTAAAAAGTTACACTAGTTAATGGATGAAAGAATTAAAACTTTAGGCAAAGTCCATAATTTTACAGACATTGGTAAGGAATCAACAACATCATACAGATTTTCAAGTGATTCAAGCATCTTTTCCAGATCTGTGATTGCAGAAGCTGTGGCAGAGGACAAGATAACATCTCAGAAATATGACACATGCTAACCTCATGCTGAAACTGTTTTTAATACAACCCAACCATAAAAAAACCCTCAAAACAAAACAAACAAACAAAAAAGCAGATGGATCATGGATTTTTTTTTTTTTTTTAGAAGTTGAAGACATGATTTATCGTTCTTGAATGATTCTCCACACTTGGCAGAGGAGGGGAACGTACAGAATTACAGCTGTTATGTGCAGAAATGCTAGACCAAGTGACACATTTTCATGCCATCAGATAACATCTGAAGTTTCTTTGAATGTTAGTAAGCATCTGCGTAACACCTAGAACGAACAGAGCCATTATTCTGCATGAAACAGAAAACTATTTTCCGACCAGGCATCCTGACCCAGTGTTTGACCACGACATACAGTTGCAAGCACTTCTAGTATCCTATCGAAGTTCACATCTGCCAGAGGGATCATTTCACAAATGGGCAAAAAGTAGAGTTTTCTGATACTTTTTACTGTGACTGATACTAGCAAGGCTAATTACAAAAGCCAGTACACTCTTTCTTTCCAGACTGCAAATACCCTCGCACTCCAGCAGGTTCTCCCCAAACAGGAATAGCATATAGCATCAGATCTCTAGGAAAACCCCAAGAGGTTAACAACAACATTACACAAAATGTTCTGGTGTTTTAATACCTGAATTGGTTGAATACTGTATAACCATCAACTGGTTTTCTACTCTGCATCTCTTAATGCTAGTCCATAGAAAGAAAAATCAAACGTTACACTGTACGGGAGTGAGTTTACTTTCTAAGCAAGCCAGAAAGCTATGTCAAAGTAAGCTAAATGGGAAGTTACTTATTAAAAAGGGGAAGGAAAGAAAGGTGATCTTCCAATTTAGCTTACCCCGACAACATCTTGACAGAAATTGTCTTGTTCATCCATTCCCTTCTCTCTGAAATCCTGTGAACTGCCTTCTATCCCACTGCAATCACACCCTAAGCATGTAACGACCACCCAAATAGCTCCAGACTAGAAGCTTTAAGAAAAAGCATCAGGATCTTCTATCACCAGTATCTAACAGAGCAATTTGGCAATGGAAAACAAGGAGCTCTACTATCACATGAGCAGCAAGGACCTACGACCACCACATGCTGGAAGGGGGCACAAGGAGGAATCTTTAGAAAAAGCTAGGAGGTAATGCACCAACCTGCCTACCACTCAGTAAACACTATGTTATTTCTATTATATAAACTTAACGTTTAATTTTTAAATTCTAGATGCCAAATCTCTCAGTCAGTCAGCTGACAGATAGAAGAAACTGTCTGGAACTGATGTACAAATTCAGTTCAAGCTGAATGCATACAAAGACACCAATCAACATGAGTAAAGCCTTCAGAGCATACTGTGGCCCTTACACAAAACACATGGGCTTCACAGTTCCTTTAACATTTACAGGCCTGTATTCCTACGTGCTGCTTAAAGACTGTTAGAGCCACTCCTCCTTTGTCTACTACTATGTGTTTTACTGTTCTGTCTGAAAATTATTGTACCATCACCCCAGCCAGATTATTAAGAAAGAAAGAAAGACCACAAATAAAGAGAACTCAAACAAAACATGAAATTCTGGAGGTTTGCCCAGTGTTTCTGATTTTACTTATTAAATGCAGCAATGCTTTTGGCAACCCCCCAAAATCTATGGTCTGTGGAAAGCAAGAAAACAATTGAGTTGTAATGTGTGGTTTCTTCCACATGTAAATGCGAGAAACTTCCTTGATGTGGTCATCATGAAAGTTTCAGAATAACTTGTACACTGCTCATCACATGATTCAACACAAAATTTTAAATTATAAACAAACCTTGTGTTTTCCGTCATTAGGTTGTATCAAGGTGCAATCATTCGAAACCAGGTTTGCTGCCCTTCACGTGACACTTCCTGGGTTTTATCACTGTCTTCATTTCCATTTCACTCTCTCCTCTCTCTCCCTGCACCCGCTCACCCACCCTCACACGTAAATATCCTGATTCTCCCAAAACAAACTATTTTTAGTGGGTTTTCTAGTGACCCTGGTGTTCATTTCAAAAGGACCCAGCCAGCTGAAGTTAATTGGCCAGGCTGATCTCACCTTACAGATTCTCGCAATAACTCAAGTCATTAGTTAACACTCTCAAAGAGGGTAGAATAATAAATACCTAGCTTAAAGAAATTTTGCTACATTTTAAGAACAACTTTAGACTCCTTTTCTAAAGATTCTCCCCCTTTAGGGCTGATTAAGAAGGAGCAGAGCCAGATCTCCGATCCAGACACTCTCTCAAGAACATTTTGGGAGGCAGACCCCCCGAAGCACATCCACATTAAGCACTACTAATTGCTTCTGGAAAGACCCGAGTGACAACTATCAAAAAAGCCCATTTACCCGCCAGGGCTACCCTGGAGCGTATCAGCTCCCTGCAGTCCCAGTTTCACCAGCACACCATCTCCTCAAACCCTCAGAGGAGCAGGACCTGGGGATCAGACCCCATAGACCAGGACACAAAGTGCTCCCCAGTTGGCATTGTCTCTCCCTGTCCTGGGGAGCTGGAACGGCTTCAACAGGAGGGAGGGAGGGAGACAGACAGCCGAGCCCAAAAAGAAACTTACAGCCCCAGGAAGTTTCTGTCAGCAGATCCAACTCCCCTCCAGCCAGGACAGGAACTGCAGCTTCACGTCCTCCTTCAAAGGCAAGTACTTTAACCACAGAGCTACCGGCTGGGTGGGATGGGTGAGGTCTGAACAAAAGGTGCCACAGACAGAGAAAGCGCCTGTCCCACCGCCTCCCCCTGAAGCGGTTGCCACTTGGCTTTGCTGGATGCTGCAAATCCCTTTGTAGGCACCTAACCCTGCCTGTAGCCAACGTCCCCACGCCATGGTGGCAACTCAGGCGGCCCTTGGGTGTCTAAATCTGCCGCTGCATCAGCCTGCTCTGGCATCCTTCAGTAGTTTTGGCGATAAGTGCCTTCCAGTGCTGCACAATGAAAGCCTATTGCTTCCCGTTTGTTTCTTCTCTCAGCTTGCCAGGACAGAAGATGGGGTGATGGGAGAAGACGGTAAGATCTTGAAGGGTGTGCACTGGGCTCTGCTCACTACCGAACAGGGAGATGCTCTGTGCAGCACGAGCCCAGGCAGCCCCTGGGCCCGGCAGCCTCGGGCGTGTGTCCTGCTGCCGACAGCTTGCCAGTGAAAGCCAGAATAAGTGCAGCAGCCTCTTTGATCTCCCGCTCCTCCTCTATCTGTGCAATGGCCCCACATCCAGTCTCCTTCTGCCAGGAGAATTCTTGCTTGGTGAGTTCACTGAAGTGACATCACGAACACCCACCAATCGAACTGATGTGTTATCTCGTCATGATGTCACTGAGCGGATCCCACACAAAGGAGCATGATTATACAGAAGAAAGGTTGTTTACAGGTAATTGCCTTTTTCATCAAGACTGATGGAAAAGCAATGTACAAATTGCCTGTGTATTTATACAATTGTACTGGGATAGGAGTTTTTCAATATTTTCAGCAAGATAAGATCAAGGGATCTGCTAATTACCGCACGGTGCTGTAACAAACACCAAGGTGTAATTTTGTATCTTAAGAAAACTCAAAGCATGACACTCCAGAGAAAAATAAAGTGTGCACTGTCATTTATTAAACTTTTCAGAGCCCTGTAAAAGGGCTCACCATTCTCAATTCACTTGACATTGAAAATTAACCATTTTACAGTACAGGCAATGCACATCTTTTGGTCTTGAAGGTGATGTTAAGTCACCCAAACCGGTGGCTTTGAGTGTCGAGTAGGGATTTCTCCCCAATCCCTGCAGCTGTTGCACTTTCTTGGCATGCCTGGCTGACTCGAGCGGCTCCCGTACAGCGAGGCTCCCCTGCCCGGCCACTCCTGTCCTTCGAAGGCACAGGACGCATTAGAAGTGCAAAGGTGCTTCCTGTGCTAACGAAGAGTGAGATCTGCAGATACACCCTAAGACGTAAAACCAGGCTTATTAATGCTGGCCTGCTGGAAACAGTTTGGCTCTTTTGTCACATTAGTTAAAATCACTGCACCTCTTTGTGAATTGGATTATTTTCAAGTATTCCCACGTAACCACGGATCTAACTTACCTGTGCTTAACAGCAGCAAAACTTTCATTATAGTGTACTCCTCAAAGCTAAGCTGCAAGCGAACAAACTGCAGACTGATCTGGTGCATCCCTTGGCACAGTTCAAACATAGCAGACTGGCGCATTCGTTCCCTGCAAAGAGAAAGAAACAAAATCCAGAGGATAAATACGGGAGAGCACAATGTGCACGCATGAGGAAAGTGAGGTGCAACCTGGAAACTCAGCACTGATCACGCAGAGGTCAGTAAGACGCACCACAGGTGCAAAGTTCAGGTTAGGTAAGGAAGCTGAGGACAACAGAGATGATGCTGAAGCCCTGCCAGCCCCAGAGGGCTGCCTGGTCCTTGTGTTCCCGGGCTGGCAGAAAACCCCACTGCCTATGAGATCTGGGGGACCCAGGCATTGCCTTGCTCAATGACTACGCCATCCACAATGGATGGCTGAGTTCACTTGCTACCCAGCAGACCACAAGCAGCATTAACATCCACCCCCCTACAAGGAACAGAAACAAATGTAATTTGAGTTTTATACACTGACAATGTTAATGAACTGGCAAAAATGTTTTAAGATGTGTTTGAACTGTCAGTGTTTGTTCAGCTCTGCCCTGGCTGAGAAATGAGTCTGCTGAAGGGGTCAGAACTGGTGCAACAGGGGAACCTACACCCACAGCATGCACATTTTAAGAGACATCCCCCATCAGTTGACATACAGGTGGATACAGGTTTCAGAAGTGTCCGGTGCAGAGATGAGCTGCGGGAAAGGATGGCCAAGGAGACCTGACAGCCTCGCACCTGCAGCTCACACCACCCCGGGCAGTCAGCCCTGGCCCCAGCCCAGCAGCCTGCAAGGCTGCCTGCAGCCACGGACAACAGGAAAACCCATGGCAAAGAGCTCTGCTGCCCACCGTGCACGGTCAGGGCCACAAGCCAGCAGGACCCTGGGATCAGGGATTTCCATTGTGCCAGCAGGTATCTTGACTCTTCTCATCCTGAGTAACACAGGGCTGTAAAAATACAGCTGGCAGGTCTGGAAAATGGGGAAGTGGTTTAGCAAAAATAAAATAAAATTTATGACTTCGTGTTACTGCCTTTATGTCTACTGAGGAGTATGAAGATAAGAAATGATTGGGATGACCACTGCCTCAGCCAGCAGCACTTATGGATCCTTCCCAAGTAACCTCCATTTCAATCTCCAATTACTACTTGTCCTGAAAATGCAACAGGTCTAGCTCCAAGGATGAAAGTGTAGAAACAAGGAGCAACGATTTCCCAGTCACTGAAGTTCTTGCTAATACACTACACTGGACCTCCTACAGGAAATTCTTAGTCAAATTGTTGTAATGGTGTCTTATTCAAACACTGAAATATGCAAAAATTCTGTATGTTTCTTCCCAAAATAATAATCAAAGATAGTCTGGAATAAAGGACTATATAATAAGACAATTTCATTCATTAATACATATTTTTGCCTGTTAAATCATAAAATAGTAAGGATACACGACGTGTATCCTGTTTACTCTTTCTTTTCTTTAACTACACTTCGATACATTTTGCTTCAGACCCTGTATCTGTTCTCTGAGGCAACCCCAGGCTAACCTATCCTGCACAAGTTTCAGGCAGAATTAGTTTGGATTTTGCTATACTCCTAAAGCTGCTATCCCAAACCACAACAGCTACAGCAAAGAGTCACTGAGAATTCCCAGTCTCATTTTGAAACTACAATATATATGTGGGTATTTAGACAAGGCGCTATAATTGTTCAGTGACCACTACTTACTTTTTTTTTTTTAATTGCTCAACAACAATTGTCCATATTTCTTCAAACATTTTTTCACATAATTGGGGAATTGGATGAAGTTCAGCTAATTATTTTAACCAAGCAACTGCCTTTTCAAATATACAAATTGGCTGGTGAAAGAGAAGAATCATACTGTGTGCAAACAAAGACTGACGTAATCTTCCTGGTGTTTTATTTCACTACTGCCAGAGCAGATTTTATTTTCCTCCTTAATACTAATAAAGCGGACTCCCCATTGTTATATGGGCTCTGCACTTTTCCCTGCTCCACCCTCTTCTTGAGACTAAGAACTTCCAGCTTTTTTTTTTTTTTTTTAATTTAATAGTAGTAGTAATGGCATGTTTGTTTATTTTTATTATGCATCAGGGACTGGAGAGAAGAAAACGAATAGAAGAAGATAGTCCTCGAACACTTTGGACAGTGACCGAAATACCACTTGGCCCTCTGTTTAAGAGCAGCCTCCACTGCTGGATGCACACAGGCACGAGCACGCAAGCCCGGATGCACCCTGCAGAGGACTTACAGACGCCAGCTGCACACTCAACACTGCTCCTGTGACCCTCAGTACCTGGGATCGGGTGAAACAGAAAAAGATTTGCAAAATTAAAAGATGCTAGATACACACAAAAGGGCACTTCTGAAACTGCTGTGCCTGAGGTCCCCCTCTAGCTCTGGCTCTGCCTGAGGCTGGTGGCCACTGTCCAAGGCTTGCAGCCAACCCAGCACAGCAGCACCTGGATCTCTCCCAGTGGTTGGACTTGCCCTGAGCATGGATGACAGAGTGTGCCAGGGATGGGGGGGGGCCTTCACATTTGGCCATGGCATGACTTAGCCTACCCCACTTTGGGGACATGACCCTAAACCAGCCCAAGGTCCTCCTGCCTGACAGGTTGCTATTGCCCAGAGACCAAACGGCTGCAGGCACCTCTGAGCTGACCTAGAGACAGCTGGGGAAAATGTCTCCAAAAGACCCCAGAGAGTGATCTCCCTCCCACTGCTCCTGCTCCCCTCTATCTTCCCAAAATTACCAAATCCAGGTTTAGCCCACAGATAATGGTGAGTCCTAATTGACCTCTCCCAGGAGGCTCAGAGGGATACGTACTGAAGTTGAAAGGCAAACGATTAATAAGAGACATTTGTATTTCAAAAAATACATTTTAAGATGTATCTCAAACTGCTAAAGACGAGCAGGATTCAAAACAATAACAGTCTATTATATCCATTATTACTTTTGCAGGGCACCAAAGTTAGTTTCTACAGCCTCAGAACATAAAGCAGCTGCCACCATCCCTGCCTGCGTTAGACCTCCACGGACACAAGCAGCACCAGACCTTTCATCCGATTCCACAAGCCACACAGCAAATAAAACGAAACATTTTGAGGTTTTGTCTCGAGTTTCTTATGCTTTCACTAAGCAGTGCGGCAAAACCCTCTGTGACAGCTAACCTAAAAGCATCCCAAGTCAAAACCTTTTTTTTTTTTTTTCTTTTTACATTGCATTGCACTTTGTGACATTTTACTGTTTCTCTCATGTTTTTCTTTGTATTTGTTTTGGTTTTATATGATTGCCTAAATAGACAAATTTTAGTAAAAGTCAGGGGTAAACCTGATGGCATTTTTTTGTAGTGAGATAGAAGTATACACAGAACTAGTTACTAAGGAGTTTATTTAACATACAGCAAACCTAGTATTTCAAATCAGTTTCCCTCCTGAAAAATCAATTAAGTTGATTTATTACTTATTTAAAAATTATTACTAACTACAAATTATGCTAGTTAATTCATGACTGTTTAATATAAGATAAGCATTTTGTGGGAGATTACAGTCTTCAACTTTGCATTTGATTTTTAACCCATACAGTGTAAAATAAGAGGGTACAGAGCTTCTGGAAAATTCAGATGTTGATATCACAGATAACCCAATACCGTGACAGTAACAACAAAATAAAGCAATAGAAATGGCTCATATATTAAAAGAGATGGGGCACATAGAAATTAGGGTATGTCAACACAACATGAACAAAAGTTGTTTCTTCCTTACTAAATGCCTCATCTATGAATAAATACCATCAAGACAGCACAAATGCCATTACCACCACAGAGAAAAATTAAAACAAACTTCTATGTTGCCTTTTAAGAAAAAAAAAAAAAAAAAAAGGGGGGGTGGGGGGAGGCACAAACACCAACCAACCAAAACCAATTCTACCTCTGACACAGCATATAAACTTCTCAACATGGAAAATGGAGAATGTGAAGATCTAGAATACAAGGGCATGTATCTTTATGGGGACATTTAAGAAGGTAAGTACATTTAAGTAATAAAAGTTGTGGAGCCAAAGCTCCGAATCTGCTGTGTGGATACACATTCAAAAGTGGTGTCATTAGCTCAGTTTAGCTTAATCCTCCTTCATAATAATACGCTTTAAACTTTACACCTTAACTTAATCCATCTTAAGTTCCCCGAGTGTCTCCTTACAGGCTTAATTTAATGCCCAGCTCACATTCTGCCTGACCTTTCCCGCAGCACTGTGGGCAGGCAGAGTGGCTGCAACCAGCCCATTCTCCCCAGCTACTGCTCTGCCCAATTTCCATCTGCTCCTGCAGAGTTTCTTTGGCCATGGGTACCTTGTTTTAACTGGTCACCGAGTTGCTCACCACATCCCCACTGGAAGTGAACTGCTGCTGCTTTTCCCTCCTTTCCCCCAAGAGAAAGATGAGGTGGGTACCTCTGCTGGCAAAGCCCTCTAAGGCACCTCAACTACCTCACTGGGAAGAGGGGTTTTGTTCCTCCTGTTGGGTTTCTCTCAATGAAGTGCAGCTGATGTGTTTCTTAGTTGACAGAATCCCTGGTACTTTCCCTGAATTCATCTTCTCTTTCTCCCCACTAGATCCAGGATCTCCCCCTAACCCCATGCAATCTATGGCCTCACCTCTCATCTCTGCCACCCTTATTCCCAAACTGACTCCATATCTTCCTTCCATGGGCAGGCTGCATGAAGACCAGCTGTGAGATACCAGCCCAACATCTTAGCCTGTTTCATCCTCAACATCTACACACAGAGAGCTGAATATGTGGATGAGAAAGCTGCAAAGCAACCCAGCTCCTCCTGCTCACCTGCTCCACAGAAGTAGCTGTCCTTTTACACAGGGGCAAGCAATGAGGCAAACTGCTTCAGCACCTGGCCAAAATGGCACTAATGCCCCAAATCACCAAGGGATGACTCGCCCAACTACAGCAGAGATGTAGGATTTCAACAGTCACACCAGGGGAGGAGAGATAGTTTTAGGGATACTGTTTAAGACAAGGCATCCTGAATACCAAACTACTCATGTCTC